TAATAATGCTTTATTCGTTTGGGAAAGGTTATACAGAGAACAGGCGTCCTTATTAATGACAATATTCCAAGATTTTAATTTGTGCATTTGCAAATAAGAAGTTAAATTAAATATTTTTGTTATATGTTTATTATTATATATATTTTTTTTTAGACGGACGTCACACCGTTTGAAGCGCGAAAACGTCGTACCCTTGCATTTGCGGCGTTTCTACCATTCAAACGTCGATTCTCGACGTGTGAAGCGCCGAACAGCCCGACTCGAGCGCCCGCGGCGTTTCCACAACTCAAACCTCGATTCTCGCCGTTTGAAGCGCGGAAACGTTGTACCCTTGCGTTCGCGGCGTTTCTATCATTTAAACGTCGATTCTCGACGCGTAAAGCGCCGAACCGCCGTACTCGAGCGCCCGCGGCGTTTCAACCACTAAAACGTAGATTCTCGCAGTATGAAGCGCGGAAACGTCGTACCCTTGCGTTCGTGGCGTTACCACCACTCAAACGTCGATTCTCGCCGTTTGAAGCGCGGAAACGTCGTACCCTTGGGTTCGCGGCGTTTCTACCATTCTAACGTCGATTCTCGAGGTGTGAAGCGCGGAACCGCCGTACTCGAGCGCCCGAAGCGTTTCCATCACTCAAACGTCGATTCTCGCCGTTTGAAGCGCAAAAACGTCGTACCCTTGCGTTCGCGGCGTTTCCACCGTTCAAACGTCGATTCTCGACGTGTGAAGCGCGGAACCGCCGTACTCGAGCGCCCGCGGCGTTTCCACCATTCAAACGTCGATTCTCGCCGTTTGAAGCGCGGAAACGTCGTACCCTTGCGTACGCGGCGTTTCTACCATTCAAACGTCGATTCTCGACGTGTGAAGCGCCGAACAGCCATACTCGAGCGCCCGCGGCGTTACCACCACTCAAACGTCGATTCTCGCCGTTTGAAGCGCGGAACCGCCGTATTCGAGCGCCCGAAGCTTTTCCATCACTTGTCACGTCCCGGAAGACGATCGACCTCCTTTTCTACGTACCTCGGTCGTGAAAAGGGCGGTTGCCCTCGTTTCTTTTAGGGGTTGGGACCCAGGGAAATCCAAGAGCTGAAATCTTTCCTGCGTTGCAGAAGTCAAAGACTTGTCAATAACAAGATTAAGGGGTTAAGGAGTACAACTTGATTTATTCCATTT